GGTACGACAACATGACACAACCAATTTTCACAGAAGAAATTCAACAAACTCTCAAAAACCGATCATCAAAAACAGTTCTAGGCTCCACAGGCATACCATATATAGCACTCAAGAAATTAAGTAAATAAACACTCAATTACCTCCCAGAACTTTTGAATGACATACTACACCAAGAAAACTTACCACACAAATGGAAATAGGTAACATATACCCCATACCTAAACCAAAACCATGGGAGAATGATATCAACATCACCAGACCAATCACGCTTCTAGAAACAACCAGAAAAGTTTTCACAAAAATCATAGCAGACAGACTAGCACAAACTCTAACTCAACATAACATAATCTCACCACACAACTGGGCAGCCCTTCCTGGTTGCAGCACACAAGAACCAATTCAAATTCTCAGAACAGTACAAGATGATGCAGTACAAAACAACAAACAAGCATGGATTCTAAGCTTAGACATGCCAAAGCATATGACTCAGTCAATATTTAGAGACTCATACTCTCACTACAACGAATCAAATGTCCAAGAAAAATCATCAAAATTATTATCAACATATGTGACAACAGACAGAACCAAGTTCTCACACCCTTCGGCCCAATACTATCATATACAATAGAAGACGGCATTGACCAGGAAGACACAATATCTCCATTCTTATGGAGAATTTTCTACGATCCGCTTATCTCACACATAGCAACAAAAACACAAGGGTACATACTCATAGCCAAATACTGATCAGATCCACAACAACCACCAAAAACGAAAACTCAGAACATCTCATGCATAGCCTTCATGGATAATATAACATTGATTACTCAAGACAAAGAAACACCCCAAAAGCTCTGCGACATATGTATAGAATTCTTCAATTGCAATGATATAAATATCAATGGATCTAAATCAAGCTTAATAGTTCTGAATATAAAAAACTACACAACAGACCATATATCAATCCAAAACCAGAAAATAATAGCTCTACGTCCAAACCAGGCAGCAAGAATCTTGGGAATCCATATGGAAGGTTCAAGCACAAAGTCATTTCAGAAGCATCTAATTCAAGAGAGAATTATTAAGTTTGCAAACACCATCAAATGGAAGACAACTACAGACAAACAGTTAAGATATCTCTACAATCAAGTATGGATCTCATCAATAATGTATTTATTATCAAACCTTATTCTCTGAGAAAAAATCTGCGATAACATAATGAGCCATCTCAACAAAATATACAAGTACAAACTAAACATCACCCAAACAGCCCCTAACACAGTTCTCTACAATCTCCTAGAATATGGTTTCTTTCATATTTGGGACAGACAAATCCTTTTACATGCAAACAACTGGCAAAAAATGATCAACAAAAATAACATAATAGGACGGATAACAAGCATGAGATTATAGGAAGTACAAAACACCTACTAGTCAACAGAAGCAATCACAAGTACCAACTTCAAAACACCAATTACATCCCTAGGAAAGGACCTGACACACGACAAAATATTTCTACTTAGACAGCAAAGCTTCACAGGAATCACAAATGCAATCGAAATTATTCAAAAGACCAACACAACAATTGAGGAAATCGTAAAAACAGCCTGGTACAACAAATACAGAAAACAACTAGCAAAGAATCAGATAATGTTCCTCAACCAAATCACCAACTTCACAAGTACAAGGCTAGCAGCATGAGTAGAAATCGCCTACCCCAATAAGAAACCAAACCAGAAAAAACCCATATGATACAAAGAACTGCAGAACAACCCCAGAGTTCATGAACTAATCAAACAAAGAGCAACAAGTCAAACCTTTAGTTACTCAAACATACAACTCGCAATAGAAACACCAAGTAACAAGATCAAATAGGTTGCAAACAAAACAAACCAACATAATATAATCAACAGGAAAAAAGCAATAATAGGTAATACAGCCAAGCTACAACACTACACAAGAATCAACAAACAGTCCTCACTGCAAGAATACTATGAATGTGCCATAGACACACAAGGAAAACCAGGGGAATGCATATTTACAAGAGACCTCTGCAGCTTAATAAACATTCCAGTACACAAGAGCAGAAAGAGCTCCAGACATGAAACAAATAAAACAATAGTACACAGAACTCGCATTATACAACCAAGCCTTCAAACGATGCTTAACAAAGCCTTCCCACACTGCAATCTTCCTGAACCACCACAAATAACTCAAAACACACTCCACATTAACAAACAAATAATCCAAAAAATGATAAACTCATCATCAAATACAATCGAACAATTAGCAATGATCAGACACAAAATCGGAAATCTCAAAACAATAACTGTATACACCGACGGTTCCCTGAGTAAAGACAAAAGAATGGGTTTTGGATGGCACATTCCATAAATGTCAGAAATCAACTTCCAAGGTAGAATCGAAAAATTCCCATCATCCACCAGAGCAGAACTAGCTGCAATAGCCTCCTTCCTTATAACAGCCCCAGTAGGAAGCAAGGTAACAATATATAGTGACAGTCAGGCAGCACTAAAAGTTATAGAAAAAACACAAAAGAACTACTCAAAAATAAGAATACTCAATAACAGCAATCTAATCAACTCTATCATATACACAATCAACTCACAACACATCCAATACACAGGAAAGAAAATTAAAGCACACAACCAAAACCCAAACAATGACAAAGCAGACTAGCTGGCTAAAGAAGCAACAGACCTAAATGCCAACTTCATCATAAACTTCATATCTCAAAGACATGACAAACAAAGATGGTCCTAAGAATGGAATGGCCAGATCTTGGAGAATACAATAACATAAACATACAAGAATATTGCCAGAACCAAATACATATTTAGCTGGAGAATGCTCAACCGCAACCTAACAACAATCACAAACTGATGCACACTAGAAGATATTAACTGGTCAGAATCCATGACACACACGCACCCTTCAAAAATCACAACGGGGACAACAAACCAAGAAGATCACAATGCAAGATCCTTCAGACTAAAACTATGGAATCTGGAACTTCCAACAAAAGATAAACTACATCAAAGATCCAACACAACGTACTCTGACGACAGATGCATAATATGTAACCAAGACACAGAATCAAACACACACTGCATGACCTGTGTACAAAACAGAAACGATATTATCAAGACACTCAACCAAATCATAAATGAAGAAGTCAGCAGTCGAACAGCCATAAAATTAGAACACAAGCTCTCTAAAGAAATAGAAGAACATCAAGAGTCATGGACCCAAAAAATCCAGAATTGTGTCGCGAGAGGAGCACTCATATTCAAACTAATACATATAATCAAAAAACACACAAACAAAGACAAACAAACAGAAACAATAGGTCAAATTATATACAGGTTTCTAACAGAACTTCACTCCAAATGGAAAAACAGATGTGAACACTTTGCCAAATGGAAAAATGAAAACAACATAACCAAAGAAGAAAAGAAAAGATGGAGCACTAACAAGAAAAAGATAAGCCAAAACAAAACCTTCATACCAGGACTTAACAAAATCATCAAACAAGCCAGCTATGACTAGATAAACTGGAACACAATTTACTTATTCGACACTATTTTTATTTGGAACAGGTAGAGCCTTGACAAATTAGCTAAGTATATGCCAGTATTTAGCAATTAGCCGCATGGTAGAAAAGTTCCTTAGTGAGCTTTATTTAGGAAAAATAAGTGGGAAATTTGTATAAAATAAATTTGTACATACTCAATCAAATAAACTTAATAAAGCAAGGTGTATGCCACCCAGTTAAAAAAAAAATGTTATTGATATAATTGAATTCATTATAGTGTAATAGTAATCAGTGAGTCTGTTGTTAATGGGAAGTTAAAATCGCGTAATGATAGTAAGTGTTTATGGTGAGGCGGAATTGATTATAGCCGAGAGATGATAACTTGGCTTCCCTTTATTTAATGCTTGCTTTTCTTTTATACATTTTTACAACTTTATTACATAATAAAAATGATAATTACAAATTAAGTAAAACTATGAAAAATCTTATGATGAAACATTTGTTATTTGATTTTCACACTATTTCTATTACATAATTCTATTAATTGGCCTCATAGTGCCCTGTTTGATCTTTGCATAACCCAGTCACGTGGAGCTATTGTGATTGTGTCATGATTCTTCTTTTTTCTCACTTTTTCCAAACTCGTGCTTGTTTCTATCATACTCATTATACTTGCTACTGCAGTCTTTCTTTTCAATATCATGGAGAAACCCGAAATTCAGCATAAGTTGCATCACTCTTTTTCGTGTTACAATAGTAAAGATTTAGGATAAAAATCCTCAAGTATATATTATACCTCTTCATGTATATATCAAAAAGATTTTGAAAAGATCTAGGTTGACATATCTGGATATTCAAGTGGTATTATTTTATATAATGAAAATTGAATGTAAAATTAAATAGTTAAATGAGTATCTGATTAATTGTAGGCTTTATATGTTTCTGGTAGCACTTATTTTGGTAAGAAAATATACAAATGATTTTGTATATCCAAATAAGCATTGGTCAGTAATTACGGGATTAGATGTGCAAGAAGTCAATAGAATTGAGAGAAAATTTTTAAATTTGATTGATTATAGATAATTCATTTTTTAATTTATTTTCATATATGAATTTTATTGAATATTGATAGTACTTATATTGAATAATTATATACATTATTATCAATATTAATATATTCATCTCCAAGAATACTAATAACAGGTATATAACTAATATATGGATTGTATTGAATTTCTTGAATATTGGGTTGGGTTGTATAATCATTATTATTTTTGAAAATATTGTTAATATTTTGAGATGAAAGTTCATTTGTCATATATTCATTAATAAAAAATTCATTATCTGTTGCATTGTTAAATGCTTTTGATTCATATTCAATTAAGGATTTGTTATTGATTTGAATAATTTGACTATTCTTAATAAAATTATTAATTTTATTTTGTTAATTATCGATGTTAAACCCCAGTCCATTTTTGATAGTAAAGAAATTACTTGTCATATATTCATCGATAAAAGATTTGTTTATTGAATCATTAAATTGATTAAAAATTTGGAATTCATTTTCGATTGAGAATTTGTTATTGGTTTGAATAATCTGACTATTTTCAATGGAATTATCAATTTCGTTTTGTTGATTATAACCATCAAGATCAGATTTATTTTGATTATTATTGTCAAGTGTAGGTCTGTTTTTGATGATAAAGAAATCCTCATCACTGGACATATAATTATCTTTAGTAGTTGAAAATTCATCATTCATTGGGATGTTAAGTTAATTAGATTTTGACAAATTTTTGTTTTTAATAAATTCGATAATGGAATTTATAAAGGTTTCGTATTTAATACATTTTTTTTTCAATTGATTAAAGGAATGTTTTAATTTCTTATGATCATTTTTTAATAATTCATATTTCTTTTTATAATCATTTTCATTATTTTTATATTATGGATATGGGGTGTAGAATCTTTTTTTATCAATTTTAAATTTAGATATAAAATTTCTTGACATGTTGATTGATCGCAATATAATTTGCATAATGAGTTTTTATAAGATTTAAATAGATTTGATATTGACCAATCAGAGTACTTTCTATTTATGATTAGAAGCTAAACAAGTTATGAACCAATCGGAAAATCTTTTATTTAGTAATTTTTTATAAAAGAACCAGATTGGTTACCCATTGACTGATTTTAAAAATGAGTATCAATTGAAATCAACAAAAGGTCACAATATCTTGCGATTCCTGTAGAAGAAAAAAAATTTGTTGCAATAATAATCATATCTGTGATCCTTGTAGGAGTAAAAAATTCAATTGTAATTGTGCTAAATCCAATAAGTGTGGATCAAAGAGATATTGCAGAAACTGTGTCGAGAAGAAGATTGCATATGATAATAATAGAGTTTGCAATAATTGTAAAGTTAAAAATCAAGATTGTAATTGTATATTTGATAAAAAAGAGATTAAGAATAAGAGGAGTTATATCCCATCATAGATTCAATCGATTAAATAAAATATCAAGTTACCATTTCTGCGATGAGTATATCATAAAAAAAAATCATGTTTCAGCTGATTGAATTGATTTTGATAAGAGTATCGTTCATCATCACGTATCTGATGGCAATAAATATAAGTAGGAGAAGATGTCATATAGTGAATTTTTTAAATGCGATTGTATAGATAAAAATTTTGGGTATCATTTATATAGAAGGAAATGTTATAATAGATTAATTCAAGAAAGATTAGTGAATATGAATTGTAGGAATTTGAAGGTTACATATAATAGATATTATCAAGCTTATAAACCAGATTATGTTGTTTATTTTTGGATTAAATTTTAATTTGATTTTTATCTACATTAAATTTTTATATAAATAAATCACTTCTTTTTTTTTCAAAAAAAATATCTACTAAAATCTTTTTTCAAAAAAAAGAATTTAATGAATCTGAAATTTTTGATATTGTGTTAAAAATTTTTGATGAATTTAATATCACAAAATACATCAAATATTTAACTTTGGAAAGCTTTTTCTTAAGTAATAATAGTTATAAATATTTTAATGAATTTAATGTGAAATTTGCTCAATCAAATAAGCAGAGAGCTGATTTTTTAAAATTAATTAATAAAAAATTAATCAATATATGTGTTCAAAGGGGTGGTGAACATCACAGGTTAATAAATCAAAATCATGTGGATTTGAATTATTCAATTATTAAAAAAAATGACTAATTCATAATGAAGGGAAAAATAATTATAAGTTATTTTCCAAAATAAAGAAAGAAGTTTTTGATGATATCAATAGTTTTATTAAATGTCTTAAAGATAGAAAAAAATATTATGAATTATTTGATAGTATTCTACAAGATGAAATTTCAAACAAACATGATTTAGACGAAATTTCCAATAATATGGAATTACTCAATATAGAATAGAAATACATTAAATAAATTATATTTTGAAAAATACATATTATTTGATATATTTAGGATTCGATTCTTGAATGTTACATATTGTTACACTTGATCTTCGCCCAAGATTATCACTATCCCTTGTCCGATTTTCACTAGCATTTACCCTTGAAATGTTACTCATTCTAGAATAATTCTTGTATTACTATCTTTGT